TTCTCAATTTTGGGAACTTGGAGAAACCTTTTCATCCATCCAAATCCATGGATCCAAGATGCAAAGAATGAAGGCCCTCTCTTTGGGTGATTAGTCTTTGCTTATGCAAAGAGGAATCTACAAAGGTATTGATTTCTCAACTCACTTTGTTTTGAGTTGAGTCTTGATTCACCTATCTACTAGGCTTTGAATTTCATGGGTAAATGTTTTGTTTTAAGTGCATACAAGCATGATTCCGCCTTTAATTGTTAATTGCATGCTATTGATGTTGCTTAAATGAACATATTTTTCACAAATTTTCCTTCAGTTCGACGGTGAGAAGGGAAAAGTGAGGTCGAGAGAGAGATGCAGAGAGAGAGCCGAGAGAAAGATAGGGGAGAGAAAGAGAAGAGGTTAACTCGGGGGAAAACAAAGAGGAGAGAGACCGGGGACACAAATCAGGGGTGGGCCCCTTGGGCTCACCAATTAAGAACTAAAAACCATTTTAAAAATGAAAATATCCCCAAACTTAGTGAAAATACAAAAATACCATTTTTCTTCCGTAAATCCCGGGACGGGTTGGTACATTATTGTCGAGATATTGCGACATGGCATGCTATCGTTTTTACTGCACTTGTGCATTCATTTTTCATACCTAAGTAGTATTATTTTCTGGAAACTATACGGGTTTTACAACAAGGGATTATAATGTTTTCAAAAGGTTTTTATTAAAACTTTATTTTCAAGCCTACTCACCTTTGTTTTTCTTCCCTCTAGGTGTTAGTAGCAGAGTTTTCGTACCGACGAGGAATATTGGCAAATCTCGGTGTAGACGATTATCATCAATGGTATAATTCTCGCCCTATTTTACTGTATTGTACTTTTACTCTGTCATCACATATGAATTGGGTTCATTCCCGCTCACAGCGCACTCTTGTATTTAGGCACTTTTAGGTTTAAATTTATTTACATTTTCCACAGCACTATACTTTATGGCTTCGTTACCTTCCTGGTGTCAGCCAACATAACTCAATTCGGAGTTCTAGTGGACATATCGGGTTGGGGTGTGTCATTTAGTTTGTAATTTTAATTTACAAATTTAGTCTACTTAGTATTACTCTTACAAATTTAAGTGTTGATTAACCTTATTTTGTATTGGTGACACATCATTTAATTTGTAAATTTAGTCTACAAATTAGTTTACCTACCATTACACTATCCATATATATAGGAAAACTAACCAAAATGGTTTGAAAACTTTGAGTTTTAACCAAAAACCATTCTATAAGTTTACTTAATGGTTAGTACAAATTCAACATTAAACCAACCCAATAAGACTGGCCCCAAGCAATTAGTTTCCAATTTTACCCTTGATTTCTAGTCTTTGCCCGTTATATCTTCTCTCCATTTCTCCATCTCTCCATCTAATCTCTACTATCATTTTTATTGTTAATTCGATTCTAATTTCACCATTTTGCAATTGAATTGATCGAATCTCTCTCTCTTTCTCTTGATCTCTACCCAATCTCCATTTTCGTACGCTGTGACAATTTGAGCCTTGAGTTGCCTAAGCAAATATACAAAACAGCTCCTTCATTATCGAAGAGAAGTGAGCAGTGGGACGAGGAAGGGCGGCCACCTCTCTGCTCATCGAAAATTGCCACTAAGAGTGACGATTCCGCTCCTCTGATCTTTCGACCCTGCCGAAATCTGGGTTTGCTTTTGGTTTGAAGCGTTGCGCTAATGCTACTACGTTTAATTTTTTTTTTTTTTTTTTAAATACCCAAGCCCCTCTGATCTTTCTAGCAAGAATTGTGGTCATCTATAGAAGGTTTGATGCTACAGCGTTTATTATTATTTTATTGATTTGATTTACAATAAAAAATAATAATTTTATAAAGTAGTTGGGACACAATTTTTATTTTTTTTATCAAAAAAATAGTGTACAAATGTAATAGGTTCCACCGGTCCCAAGCTTATTCAAATATCCATGGTCAGAAGTTGTGAAAGCTATAAGGTAGTGTATACACTTCTTATATTGGTTTTAGTATTATTGATTGTAACTATTTTTGAAAACTAGACAAAAAAAACACACACTATTTTTGTAATAGAACAAAATAAACATTATTTTTGAAATTATAGCAAAATAACTACATTATTTCTGAAACTGAACCAATATAACCCACACTATTTTTTAAACTATAGCAAAACAACCACACTATTTCTGAAACTAAACCAAAATAACCACATTATTTCTGAAACTGAACCAAAACAACCACACTATTTCTGAAACTACTGCTGTTACATTCCACATCGCCCAGGGGAGTGGATCCTCTAAGCCTTATATGTATATTCTCATCTCTACCCAGCATGAGGCCTTTTGGGAGCTCACTGGCTTCGGGTTTCATGGGAACTCCGAAGTTAAGGGAGAAAGGGGCGAGAGTATTCCTAGGATGGGTGATCCATGGAAAGTTGTTCATGAGTTCCCAGAAACAAAACCGTGAGGGCGTGGTTGGGGCCTAAAGCGGACAATATCGTGCTATGGTGGAGTCGAGCCTGGGATATGTGGTGGGGGCCCCGGCCTAGATGTGACAATTTGGTATCATAGCCAATCCCTGGCTGGTTGTGTGCTGACAAGGACGTTGAGCCCCTATGGGGGGTGGATTGTTACATCCCACATCGCCCAGGGGAGTGAATCCTCTAAGCCTTATATGTATATTCTCATCTCTACCTAGCACAAGGCTTTTTGAGAGCTCATTGGCTTCGGGTTCCATGGGAACTCCGAAGTTAAGCGAGAAAAAGGCGAGAGCATTCCCAGGATGGGTAATCCACTGGGAAGTTGCTCGTGAGTTCCTAGAAATAAAACCGTGAGGGCGTGGTTGAGGCCCAAAACGGACAATATTGTGCTATGGTGGAGTCAAGTCTGGGATGTGGTGGGGGCCCAAGCCGGGATGTGACAACTGAAAAATAAATCACACTATTTCTACAACTGAACCAAAATAATCCACGCTATTTATGAAACTACAGAAAAATAACTCACATTATTTATGAAATTGAACCAAAATAACCCACACTATTTTTGAAACTATAGCAAAATAACCACACTATTTCTGAAACTATAACAAAATAACCACATAATTTCTGAAATTACATCAAAATAATCCAAACTATTTTTAAAACTACAACAAAATTACACCTATTTTTGAAACTGAACCAAAATAATGAGTTTTAAAACTAAGAGATTTTCAGTCTTACGAGCCAAGATTTTCACTACGTTATGTTTAGATAAGGATTTTGAAGTGCACTAACGAGTTTTAAATTATTTCTTTACCTTTCACAACTACTTAAAAATAGCTCAACTGCCATTTTTTATCTTCCACTCCTTTTTCCACCTGTCTCACCCCCTACCTTTTCCTTTCTCTTTCACATCTCTTCTCCGTCCGCCCTTCTGTCTCCCGTTCACTTATCTTCTCTCTCCCAACTCTCATCTTACATCTAGTCCCACCCCTTTTTTCTCTCTTTTATATTATATTTTAAAAGAATTAATTTCAAAAACAAAAAGAAAAAAAAACGTTTAAACTTCTCGTCTATTTTTCAATAAAGCTAATGAGGATCGTATTCGGAACCTCTTTGTGAGGATTTCAAAGATCCTTCAATTGTGTTCATTTATCGTATATTGTTCAGTCAGAAATTATTTTAAAAATTTTATTTAAAATTGAACATAAATAGTACCTGACAAAAACTAACTGCATAATTTATGATGAACGGATACGATTAAATGATTCAGAGAGGATCATAATTCCAATCAAACATAGGTGATTGAGACCTCAGACCAAATCTTGCCTTCTTTTATAAAGGTCAAGAATGCATAAAGGACAATAAAGTTGTGAAGGATCCAAGGAAAGTCATCCATAATAATTAATTTGGAACTTTATACTTTTTCAAGGTTTGGTTTGGTTAGGTTTGGTTTGAGATTTTTTTATCAATGTTTGGTACGTTCATAATCTTTTTATTTACTTATTTTTTATTTAAATAGTAGATTAATTATTTATATGGTATTTGAATTTGTTGATTAGGGTTCTGATTTTGAGAATAGACTATATTTCATTGTTGTTGTTTTATGTTGATAAACTTTTATAAAGGCAAAAAAGAAAAATAAACATATAATTTTAGGAGTGTGCTATCCACACATCCTTTTTTACTTCTCACACACCCCTTGTTAATTTGTATTCGTTGATCTTCTTCAATTCATCCGATCTGACGGCTGAAAACTAAAAAGGTGTAAAAGAAGTAAAAAATGGTGTGTGAATATCACACCCCTAATTTTATGGTACTAATTTTAGCTAGCCCACCCAAGATAAAGAATCCTGGCTCCAACCTTGGTGCGAAGTGAAATGAAAATGTCAACAAGTCATGATTCACAACTTCACTACCATAACTAAGAGGAATGCTCTCCTAAGGTCCTCATTTTGAGGACCTGTGAGGTCCTATTTCATTTCAACCCTTAAAATTAATATGATTGTGAAATAATCCAAAATATGATATTATCCTTGTTACAACATAACAAAATAATAATTTTGATTTTAAAAAAAAAAAAAAGTTTCAGGCATGAATATCATATATCTGATATGTTGTAACAGAGATAATATCATATTTTGTTATTATCCCTATTACAACATTTTTATTTTGTTATGTTGTAACAGAGATAATATCATATTTTGGATTATTTCACAATCAGATTAATCTTAAGGGTTGAAATGAAATAGGACCTCACATGTCCTCAAAATGAGGACCTTAGTAGAGCATTTATGTCATAACTATAGTGTACGCTCATCATACACTTAATCATTTGTCATGTGTCTTTTCACTTAACTTTAGTAAACTTTCAAATTAAATGTTACCTTTTCAATTTTGAAAAAAAAAAAACAATCAATCAAAGTAAAAGAACACGTGACAAATAACTAGGCGGTGAGCAAAAATGCTCTTAGATTAAATTATAAAAGGGAGACGCATACATATATACTTAGATAGGATTGAATTGAAAGCTCTAAGTCTATCAATTCTAAAATGGCAGCCAAAATTGATGCAACTTTGGGATCATACGACCGCATGAAGGAAGTGAAAGAATTCGACGAGTCGAAGATGGGAGTCAAGGGCCTCTCTGATTCTGGCATCATGACCATCCCTCGTATTTTCGTCCACGACCCTCAAACCTTATCCGACCTCAAACCCTCATCCAAAAACACCACAACCCCCATCCCCACCATCGACCTTTCTCACATCAACTCCCCCGCTCACCGCCACAAAATCGTTGACCATGTGAAATCCGCCGCTAAAACCTTTGGCTTCTTCCATGTCATTAACCACGGTGTGCCTGTCTCCGTTTTGGATGAAACGGTCAACACTGTCAAAGCGTTCCATGAGCAGCCCCATGAAGACAGAGCCAAGCACTACAAGAGAAATGAAGGAAAGGGAGTCATGTATGCTACCAATACCGACTTGTACCGCACATCGGCCGCAAGCTGGTGTGACTCACTACAAGTGTGGATGGCCCCGGAGAGGTTGCAGGCGGAGGAGATACCTGAGGTGTGTCGGGAAGGGGTGGTTGGATGGGATTTGCATGCAACTAAGGTGGCGGATGACGTGCTGGAGTTGCTTTCGGAAGGGTTAGGGTTGGAGCGAAGGAGGTTTAAGGAGTTAACGTTTTCAGATCAAAGGTTGCTGGTGGGGCATTGCTATCCTTATTGTCCCCAACCAGATCGGACGGTGGGGATTAAGGCGCATACTGATGGTTCGATTCTGACGGTTCTGTTGCGGAACCATGTTCCTGGGTTACAAGTTAAGCATGAGAACGAGTGGCTGGATGTGGAACCTGTGCCTGGAGGTTTGATTATTAATGTTGGAGACATGCTACAGGTAAATCCAACATGATATCATGTTCATATTTTCTCTTGGTTGAACAATTTGTCGTCCAACTATATAAATCCGGTGAAATACTCTTGATTTACTTTCTACCATATAAAAAGTGCATTCTTTGTATCTTATACATTTTTTTAATACAATCCATATCAATTAATCTACCCTAAAGAGGTGGAGGGATGTTTAAACCCGAAACGCAGGAGGTTGAAGAGGAAATCGCTAACTACCAAGGCAATTCACTACAAAATATCTAATACATCACCTAAACACAAATTTGTGTGGCGGATACACTATATTTTTTTTCCTATTTTCGCTTAGACAAAAAATTAATCTCATGTGGAAAATGTTGAGTTTAATTTTCGTTTTCATCTTCTTCTTTTTTAAGTTTTATAAAAAGAAGTTAATTTGATAATACTAAGTTAGATTTTTTTTCTTTTTATGATAACGTTAGTGGTTAAATTGTTAGTTATTAAAAGAAAAATGAATGGTTGAGGATCGAATCCGCACCATAAGCATTATTTGTTCTATTTTGTTTATATCGATTATTTATTTTAATTACTGTGTTTTTTGGGTGAGGATTTAGATAATCTCCAACGGGGAATATAAAAGTGTGGAACACAGGGTGTTGGCCAACTCTTGGAAAGAACCTCGGATCTCTATTGTGATATTTTTCAGCCAAACCAAATGGAGAGAAGGTGGCTACTGTGGACCTCTGCCGGAGCTTTTGTCACCTGAGAAACCACCAATCTATCGAGACTTCACTGAACAAGAATTACGGGAAAATTTCTACAGCAAAGGACTAGATAGCAAGTCTATGGTTGATAAACTCACAATAAAAAATTGAGATGGGTTGTTAATCTCTCTTCCACCATGTTTGTAATTATATCCCCTAGTAATATTTTATATATATATATATATATATATATATGCAACTGGTTTGCAACATGCTTTTTAAGGTTTGTAATATAATTAATAAAAGTTTGGGGATATATTTCCAATATTCATTGGGCTCTAGTTCAATTTGCAACACTAATGAGGATCAAATTGAATTATCAAAGTTTAACACTGTTGGGGAACTTTTAGGTCAAGGTGAACTTGGGCTTTGAGAATGTCCTCTTGTCTTCCTTGGTGCGGAATCGTACCAAGTCCCGGAATATCTCGAAAGAGTTAACTTGTCTTAGGAAACAATCTGGTAACATCAACAGCTTGAAGATAGCATGCTTGATTAAGATAATGACTTGATCAAGTGAAGCGTGGTGCGGAAGCTAGAAGATTATCAGTTTACATGAGAGAGAAGAGATTTGCATGTTGCATGGCATTCTTGGCTGCATGATTTGGGCTTTCCTAGAGTGATAGTAAGGCTTTTGATGGCTGGGATGTTTAATGGAAGGCCATGGGAATTATTAGGGTTGCATGAATGGTGATGCTTGAGGCTTGAAGTATGCTTCTGAACTAAATGAAACTCTCTGGAGTTATTTCCTGGGTGGTTCCCTCTCCCTGCGTTTCTTTTATCTTTCTTTGTGTTACCTCCTCTGTCTCTATGTGTTATCCTTTTCTCTAATAGTTTCTCCCTCATTATGTAAGTGAAGGGTTCTTCTATAGGCTTCAAGGGAATCTCCATTTGTGGCTTGTTCTTCCCCTCTTTCTCCCTAGCTCTCCTATTATTCCATTTTTGGTGTAAGATAGCTGCACTGTTGAGACATGTAGTTTGCTTCTTTCTGAGGCGCGGCTTTCCCAGGGCGACCTTCCACAAGCGTTACTTGTAGTAGCGCGCCTCATGGCTTTTGCACGTTGTCTGTCTGTGTAAGCTGGGAAGTGAAAGTCAGCATTAAATGTCTAACTTGCTGGGTTTAGCATGCATTTAATGCATGAATCTAGTTTAGTTCTAACTAAAGGGGTTGACTTGCTAGGGAAAGAGGTAAACTAAGCTAGTTTTCTCTCAATGTTGCCTACGTGAAATGCAAAGGACAAGGGCTTGGATCTTTAGGCCCCCAAGTAGCCCAAAGTCTTCCATGACCCCGATTCCACTTAGGCTCGATAACCTTCCATAACCAAAACATATCGCAATTCACTTGACAAGTTCCAAATATGTGACTTGAGCTTAGCATGAATAGTGACTATCATGAGGAAGCATGGCGTGATAAATAGGCATGAACATGGGGTGAATATACAACTTAATCATCGTGGCATGGCATGTTTGTAAATATATTCATCATTGATCCCGCACATTGGCATGTTTTTTGGGCTTGAATGTAGGTTTTGCATAACAATTGGTTCCTAAGACTTAGTTGGATTGGTGTGTAACATTTTTGAGCCCCAACAATTTGCGATGGAGAGCTGATTTCACATACCTTTTTAACTTTTGTTTATTTTTATTTCTAATCATCCAATTGAATATATCAAACAGAAACAAATGAACGTGAAACTCGCAGCTGAAGTAAGTTTACACCTCATGCTTAAGAGGTCAATCTGGTTATACATTTTCATATGTATTTGATTCGTTTGCTACGTGCTTTCGAATTTGCTATAGCCAGCTGGTGATTTAAACTCATGTGATCGCCGTAGAATGCAAGCGATAGCCTAACTGCTTATAAACACATGTAAAATCTCTGTTTGTTAAATGTGAGATTTATACTGTCGACACTCCTCATATGTGACACATGAAAAATCAAAGAATTTATTAGTGACACTTCAAAAACAGCATCGTGAACTCATAAATTTTTCTCACATGTTGCGTTCACAAGAATGTACTGTACAAACCACCGCTTCGGCTTATATTCGACCACCACATTATTCGGCAACCGAAATTCGTACCTTTTGAATGCAATTCCAAAGAAATAAAAGGTGTCGATCAGCAAAAACAAGACGAAAAAAAAAGAAACGAGGAAAAAATGGCTAAGGCAACAGAGGGACAAACAAAGGCCTACAACAAGTTCATCAGAAAAAGGACGATGAAACAGAAGCAAACATAAACCAAGAGATCAAAATTATCCCAAGATGCATCAAATGTTAATATAAACTGCAGTAATTCAACACCGATACAAAGCAAATGACTTTAACTGAAATACAAAAATTCAAACTCCAGCCTAGACAAGAGTAATAAAATATTCGGACGACAGTCTACTTGATCTTCTTCTTCGGCCTCAACTGCAAAACAACAAAATCGCAGTTTCAGTTGCTCAGAACATAAAGTGATTACCGGCATACCAGCCATGATCATATAGAATTCTATGATCAAATTTCAAATGCAGTAAGCAAGCAGCGACCATAAAAAGTCCAAAGAAAAATGAAAGTACCTGATTGCTGTGGCCACACTTCTTCTTCCTGCAGTTCACTGCCCTTGGATGAAGACGAGCATAGCACCTAACAAACAAGGGAGATGAGAAAAACTTCGATGTCAGCATAACAATCTATCGTTTGGATTATCACATAAAAATCAAGTGTTGAAACAATAAAAGTGGAAAAACAATAGGAGGATACCACAACAATACACATCAAACACAATATCAATTAACATTGTATAGAGTATTAAGCTCAATTACAGGAAAGGCCTAGTTGACAATGTTGAAACACTAGAAAACATGAGATTTATCTCAACGTCAAGCTCTAAAATCAAAACGAAAACAATCACATCCTACAATATCTATCAAGTAAACAAAGCAACAATAGCATGTTCCACCCATGAACATCAACTGAAAACAATTGATCGCAGCTGACACAATTAATGGATGAAAATAAATGTCGAGACAAGCATAACCTCAATACACCTTAACACAGAAAGGAGGCTAAGTAATTGTCTCAACAATGAAGGATGAGCCAAAACCTCAAGACACGAAAAATAAACAGAAAGTTAATTGAACGGAATTTCCTATTGGAAACAATTAGAGTGCAACTTGCTCAGAAAAGAAAAAAACGAAAAACGCCTACCCATTTGCCACTTAAGAAAAGCCTCATTCATTCAGTCAAATCTCAAAACCAAATTTACTAATATCTTCATCTCTGAAACATAATTAGTTAATATCGTCAATTGATCGCTTAATTTAAGGTCTAGGAACAACATTAAGCAAGCGTTTTTACATAACAAATGCTATACAAACATAACAACAATTAATCAATGTTCCACTCAAGAAAATCAACTGAAAATAATTGAGCCCAGCTGACAAAGTTGAGAGAATGGGAATTTATGTGGGGACGAGTATAACCTCAATCGCACTCTATCTGAAATGGAGGCTAAGTAATTGTCCCACAAAATTAATCACTAAATTAACAACAAATTAGACAAAAAGAAAACATTCACAGATTAAGGAGAGAAAAATGATAATTACTTTCTGCAAATCATCTTCTCCTGATTGTACTTGCGAGCCAAAGCCATAAGAGAAGGTTCGATAATCCCTCCGCGGAGCCTCAGCACGAGATGAAGAGTCGACTCTGAATCAAAACAGAGCAATCAATTCGAATCAGGCTCCGCAATGAAATACAATCAACTGAAAAATCCCCAAAATTTAAAACCCTAAGAAAAAAAAGACCGACCTTTCTGGATGTTGTAGTCAGCCAGGGTGCGGCCGTCTTCGAGCTGCTTGCCGGCGAAGATGAGGCGCTGCTGGTCCGGCGGAATGCCCTCCTTGTCCTGGATCTTGGCCTTGACATTGTCAATGGTGTCGCTGCTCTCGACCTCGAGGGTGATGGTCTTCCCGGTTAGGGTTTTCACGAAAATCTGCATCTTTAGGTTCCTTTGGCTGTGTCTCTGTGAGAGGCGGAAATGGCTTCGTTAGGGTTTTATAGTCAGCTTCTAGGGTTTCATTTCTTGGGGTTTCTCGCTTGGTGCGAAAGGCTTGACCCGGAATGAGCCGATATAATTGGCCCGCTTGTTAAAAGTGTGGCTATTTGGGCCCTGTATATTTGTGTAATGTCATGTGTATTTAGGTTCCACGTACCATTATCGTCATAGATTTTCGTTAAAATTCTCGACCATTTATGTAATGTCATGTGTCGTTATCCATTATTAATATCCACTCATATTTTTTATGAGAATCTCAACCATTTATATAATGCCATGTGTCCATGTATCATTATCGTCGTAGATTTTTGTTAAATTTATCACTCATTTATGTAGTGTCATGTGTTATTATCCATTAGTAATATACACTCAGATTTTTTATAAGATTCTCGATCATTCATATAATGCCACATATCATTATCCAATGTTATGGTTTCCTTTTTTTTATTATAAAAAGAACCTTTCTTATACCCTTTCTCCCTCCTCTTCTTCCCGAAGCACTCCGCCCCTTTCTCTCTCCAAGCCCTCGCTCTTTCTCTTCCATTGCATGATGTTAATACTACCAAGGACGGATCCACATAGGGATCAGGGAGGTTCCAGGACCCGTCGGCAATTCTAAATCGTTGCTATAAATTTTCTAGGAACCCCTCGTACTCGAGCATGAGGTTTGCGTAGGTTGCAGTGGTTGTCTTCTTCTCGGAGAAGATGACCGCGCATGGAGAAGAAAGAAAATAGGGACCCTTCCTGCCTTTCTCCTCCTTGCTTCTGCCATGGTCTCATCCGTCGGTGCCACTCACTTCTCCTCTAACCTTTCTCTGTCGTCTGGAGGGGGCAGTACATAAGCCCAAATTTCCCCAAATTATTTCAACCATCCTAGTAATTTTTCTTATGGCTGAAATTTCCTTCATAAGGTTAGTAAGATGGATATGATCTGTCATGGGTTTGTGAAATTTGGGGGTGGAGCTACCATGGCTTCAAGAGAATGGGGAGGGAGGCGGTTGGTAGAGGTATGTCAGCTTTGTTCTTAGTGAGAGAGAATGTGGATGTTTGGAAACTAGTAAAAGAGAAAAATGGTGTGTTTGGTTAGAAAGATAGTGGGAGTTTGGGGAGAGTTTTATTTTACCAGTGTTTTAAATTAGGATGTGCTATCCACACACCCCTTTTTACTTCATACACACACTCTTAATTTGCGACCATCGGATCGACTAAATTAAAGAATATCAAATGGCAGAAATTAACAAAAGATGTGTGAGAAGCAAAAAGGGGTGTATGAATAGCGCACCCCTTTAAATTTAATGGTTCATATTAGATAATCAATGACTTAGGTACTCCCTAGTAACTTATGAAACCTCGTAATGGACGCTTGAATTATGATTTTATAATTTGTAATATTGTTTTGCATATGATTTTTAAATGAAATGTATTATATTTAAATTTTCAATGTTATTTTTGTCTATAAATTTTTTGACCTTTATAATTGGGACCCCCCGAGTTTAAAATCTTGAATCCGCCACTGAATACTACATCCTATTTTCATACTCAACTTGAAAAACATATCTTTTAATTATAGACATTGGTGGGAAAATTTATTTTTTAAGTTATTAACTTTTTAACTCACATATCTCATCATTTATATAGTGACACATGATGTACCACCTTGTATAACGGTCACACTGAAAAATCTCTCATCGGGCATTCAATCTGCTTCTCTCTCTTCCATTGCATGGTGTTAATACTTCATCCTATTTTCATAATCAACTTGAAAAACATATCTTTTAATTTTAGGTTTTTTATATACATTGGTTATATGAGCCGCTAGTCTAGAAGAGTAAACCATAGGTTTGATTTTGTAAGAAATCATGATATCTGATGAGACCTTAGGAGATATAAGATCTTGAATATAGGTAAGGTCCTTGTTTCGTGTATAGAGACTAAATTGAATAAATAAATCTGAGAATTTAACTTTTCCCCTCCAAACTCATTTTTTCTAGCCTCTAGCCCATCATATAATATTTATTCGAATAAAACCTAATTACTAGGATCCAACTAAGCAACTTACCAAATTAAGTATGTGTGTCTGTTTTTATATTTTTTGGATCCTTAATATACCCCATCTAAGCCAGTATGGAAAGTTCTTGTAAGTTTGTTTTAATTGATCACATGCATTGAATTTGGCAAGGTTTTGTAGCCATGAAATATGGTTCTAGATGGAGGAATTAATTTGGATTTTTTTTTTAATTTCGACAATAAATTTCAATTTGAATATACCTAATTTACTGTTTATTTTCAGCAATATCTATCGTTTAATTTTATGAAAATAATTTACCTACTATGAAAATTAATTTTATGAAAACAATATCTATTGTTTAATTTTATACCTACAGTATAATTACATGAAAATAGTTTACCTACTATGAAAATTAATTTTTTGAAAACAATATCTATTGTTTAATTTTATGAAAATAATTTACCTATTGTATAATTACATGAAAATTAATGTGCCTACTTTTTAAATTTGTAACAAAATTAATTTACCTACTTCTTTTTATGGTATTTGACACACCCTGACTGAAATCAAGGCATGCTGGCCATCATGTGAGGGTGACGTAGCCATGTGCACAGTGCAGAAGCAATTATAATCTAAGAAATGCGAATAAATAAAAACCAAACTAACTAGAGCACTAGATATGAATAAGTGCAAGACGAAACTAAGTGTGAATTCACAACCAGAGCATAAGTAGCCTAAGTGCAGTATAGCAGGACGAATACTAATTATACAACACCAAAGGTAATCCTACAATGGTGATAATCTGTCAGAGTTGCCGTGGATTCCTCGCAAGCCACCAAAAAGCACTCCTAACTAGAACCTAGAGGGGTGCAAAACAGAAAGTATGAGTGGGCAAAAACAAAGCTTTTCAAAACCATTTCAATTATCAAAGATAGTAACTCCTCGCCGTAAAACTTGTATAATTTCCCAGAAAATAGAATACATATCTATACCACAACCATGCTCAGAATAGCAAAATCCACAGATGTGCCATGTTGAATATCTCAACATAAAAACATGTAAGCTAGGTGATATAAATCAATGCAAAACTGTGAGGGCGTGGTCGGGGCCCAAAGCGAACAATATCATGCTACGGTGGAGTTGAGCCCGGAATGTGATGGGAGCCCGGGTCGAGATGTGACAATATTAGTATACATAAATGTAGAATATATGTCCGTATATATTTGATCTAATTAGATTTTGGATTGGAGGAGTTCACACAAAATTAAAAATATACTAAACAAATTAAATGTCTAGCTAAAAGAAACATATAAGAGATTTGGTGTCATGATTTTGTAAATAAACACAAATTCATGGACATCTTTTATCCAACATGACATCATATTTAAAATTTAGGTTTTATTTAGAAGTTATAATATATGTGAGTTTTTTTTTCTAGAGTTTAAGAGTTGCAAGAGTTTAAATATAAAAACCCTAAATAAATATACTTGCAAATGAATAGTGATGCAAAGGCCTTGCTTAAGTTTCTGTGCCACCCTTTTTTACGTTTTATATATTGTAAAACTGATTTAAGTCTCCTGAATAATAAGTTATAAACATATTAACAAACGATTCTAGATGCATCAGTAGTACTATATTGTAAATCTCAAATTTTATGCATCTAATTATTTTATTTAACTTAAGGTATGCAATAGTAATTTTTTTTTTCTTTTCTCAATATGCATATTGTTTTACGAAGCTGAATCTAGTAGAAAAACATTTGGTAGATAAGGATACAAGTGTTGTCCGTATTCTCCTCGGTCTTCATTGATCGCATTCATATAATTATGATACAAATACATTTTCGTTCATGATTTTGTGATGCAATCAATGAAGATCGAGGAGAATAAGGACAACAGTCGCGTCCAGCACCATATACGTTAGCGGACAATCCAACGCTATGGGTAGATGATATTGCTAGTCACCATATACGTTTTTGCAGTCTTCCCAAATCTTCATCCCTTTCATCCGGAGTTCAGGTATATATGTATCAAAAAGTTAGGGTTTCAGTAATTTTCGTATATACATAGACATGAGACAACGCATGACCGTGTATACATGTCATGTAAGTTGGTATCATAACACTTGCGTCTACTAAGTTGCTGCACGTCATGATAAATGGTGACCGAAACTTTTCAGGTCTACCAGAAACAAAACACAGAACCAAAGTACTAGATTTTAAACCATATATAGATAACAAGAATACCATAATTTGTTCTGTGTAAAGCTCGAATGATAATCGTCAACCAAACTAAATTCTACTTTTTCCGGCAAATAATCTTACTAGGTTCAAAACTACATCCGAGTTGATGGAATGGCTGATGATAAAATTTTGATCAAAATCATAATATCTCCCAAACTACGGCAGCAGCAGCAGAAAACCACACAATTGAAGGCGAGTAAGAAATCACAACCTTCTTCCCCTTCTACCACCCTTTCTACGAGTGCTGTCGGTGGGAATTGGAGTCACATCTTCTGTCGAAACAGGAAAAAGAAAATCAAGAACTGCAAATATTTAACTTGAAGGAAACGAAGTTCCATAATAACATCACTCCCGAAGTCTAGCCTGTCTAGGTATCACAAATGCAACAATACACATTTAATATGAGAGTGGGAGTGAATGAAAAAGGATGTTGATACATTGTAAATTTATCAAGACCACAGAGAGATGAAAGGGCAAAGGAGATTACCAATGCGACCAATTCTCATGCCAGAACGAGCAAGGGCTCTGAGTGCTGATTGGGCGCCTGGACCAGGAGTCTTGGTCTTGTTCCCTCCAGTAGCCCGGAGCTTTATATGTAGAGCAGTAATGCCAAGCTCCTACAATATCAGTCACCAAAACAAATTAATTCATTATTACAACTCAGAACTAGAAACCAAAGACGGATGTATATCATATAACTCGGTCTGAAATAAAAATCATTTAAATAAAAAGGCCGGTAAACCTTGCAGCGTTGAGAAACATCCTGAGCGCACTACAAAAAATATGGGCACTGCGCACAATAAATTATATGTGCCCTTTGAGGCCAAAGAGCACCAAGACATGTGCCCATAGACCAATAGCAACAGTGCAGCTACTAAGTTTGTATCTGTGCCCTCTATGGGCGTCACCATTGCTAAAAGGGCACAATTCACTGTTTGGTGCTCAAAGAGGCAGACACAAATGGACCATTATTTGTGCCTGTTTCTGACAACTTTATCAAAAGACCTTTTCCAGCCATATTGACACTTATATTATAATTGTGCCAACAAGAATTAAATATTAAAAAAAAATCAAAATTGAAAAAACTGAAACTGAATTGAGGTAATTATTATTATTTTTTTTTAATTTTCATAAAATGTAGAAAGCCTACAACACATTCTCAATCTCAGAAACATATATTGTAATGTTACATATTTCATCTCTAATGCAAAAAGAACTTGAAAGCAGACATTTTTGGACAAATGCATCTTCCCTAGCAAGCCTTGCACCTCATCAGAAGCTAAAACAAATATAGTCGACTTCAAAACAAAATAAGTCCAAAATTACACCTAAAAAGGAGTTGGTTAAAATCAATACGTAAAAGTTCCAGATCTGCCATATCAAAGATTCACCTCCTTTTCCAACTTGGTGGATGGTGCAATCATCCTCCTGAAATCCAAATGAAAGTGAAAATGAAATTAAAAAAATAAACAAAGAAAGGACCTATTTCCAGTCATGTTCAAGGACCAAAACTTTCAATCGGCATTAAGAAATCAATAGCAGTGATGCATTGCTACTTTGTTATACCAAATTACAGTGAACAAAATATGCAACTAAATTAAGCAGCTAAACCATCATTACCAGCAAACAAGATGTACAAAACAATAAAAGTTTGGACAATCATTGTTATGACATTAATTTCTAAGAAAGATAGAAACTGCTAAGAACCTTATAGGCTCTACAACGCACAAGCTAATAAATAAGTATTTTCAAATCTAATTTTTAGCTTTAGTGAAGTCTTCCATGTTTCCATACGGAAAGATAAGATTCATGGAGCTGTTTAGTTTCTTAAGACTGTATGTTTTCTCACTGTTCGGTCTCTCCTAAGAGCAACCTAAACACTTAACTACAACTAAAAACTTGCAACAAAGCCCTCAAGAAATCAAATTCTATGAAATTCTAGCAAAATACAATCCCAATAGAACACAAATGAACGATAAAAAATAACACCACATATGGGTTATTCCACTGGATGAACACTTCATTTTCTATATTCTATTGGGTTCACTTTCTTTTCATTTTTTTTCATTTTTACCATTCCAATCTGTGCATTTTTCTCTATCAGTATGCCTTGACTCCCTATATGCACCTACTTTAGTACCCTCTCTCTCTCTCTCCAGCTTTCCTTTTAAATAGGTTATCATAAACCCATGCTCACTTTCACCCAACAACAAAAGAAACAGAGGGAAAAAGGAAGACACCACATTTAATTAATTCATGATTCTGTCCAATTAGCTTTGATTGAACTGGAAAACCTAAATCCTAAGCTCTATATAACAACCTGCATTTAAACTGTCAAGTGATTAAAACTGCATTAGGCTAATGATTTTCAAATTTAAACACTCAACCATTACAAAGAGTTGCAAGCATCCCAATGCATAATTGAAATATTAAAAGAATAATAAATCTCTCCCCACCGAAAACAGTCAGATTCTCATTCTCATCCAAGGCCCCGATGATGTTTAAATACTCTATGGTGTTTTGCACCTGTAAAAGATATCAAGAGACAAAAGGTGAATTGCAGATGAGCAACAAAATTTACAAATAAGCACAACATCATTTCAGGGGGAACAATTTGGGGTCAGCCTTCAGCTGCACATGTGCAGGGTGCAACTAAATCACCATATGCCTCTAATATAACAAACAGACATTAATAAGCATATGCACTGAATGCTATGGAATTAGCAATCTTTAGCTCTAATCAGTTTAAGAAAGTAACGCTACAACGAAAAGCAAATTACAACAATTCTCAATAAGCTTTCAGATTTGTGTACCTGAATTGAGTTCAGAGGCAAAATCCTTCAACCAACCTCGGGTATCTAAATCTTAATGTTGAAAAACTCTTCGGCTCTGAATTTGGCCAAATAAAACTCCTGATTACCTACTGTTGGAAACAAATAATAAATATACAGGGAATTTTATAGAAAATTAGGATTAGATTTTAACGGTTCTTACCAAAATTTGGCCAAATTCAAGCCTACCCTCAACGATTCCAGTTCGTAAAGCCTCAACTCAGCATCACACAGAAGAATGTTAAACATGCAACACGGAAACAAACCAATATCCTAAACTTTCGAAATTGGGGATGATCTGAATATGGAATAAAACCTAGAATAACTTACCATGAGTACAAAAGGTTTTAGAAAACGATTGAAGCCCATAATTTCACGCGGCAGTGGCCCCTAGTGGTCGCGGTGGTTCCGCTGCAAGAGAGAGAGTAATTGAAATATGCAGAACAAAAAACCATAGAAACAACAAAAAGAAAAACTCAAAATTTTTAGTAAAATTAAGAACAAAAATCACTAATCACACAACCAAAATTAATAGAAATAAAAAATCAGTATGCACGAAAGACCAAAATAATCTTTGAGGCGCCATTTTTACATTAACAAACTCAAAATTCAAATCGGTCCCCAAAACTCAAATCAGATCGGAATCCAAAGCAAAGCAGATCAAAATCCAGTACCAATTACAACAAAAAAAAAACACAAAATTTGAAAAACATTAATACAAACACACACACAATAATCATCAAATTACAGAAAAATACACAATTAAACACCTAATCGGAATCGTTGACATGCAACAGAAGGAACGATGCAAATGGACATCAATCAGACAGCTATAGCCACGGACGAATCAACCAAACAAACTAATTTGAAAAGAAAAATCGAAAATTTAATCCATTTTTATATAAATGATAAAAACAATTAGGGATCTGGGAGATTGAACGGAATGATGATCGGAGGGAGGAAATTAGGGTTAGAGAAGAGAGCGAAAGAGCGAGCAGAGAGAGGAGACTTACAGTTCGGGATCGAGACGAAGAGGACGAATCTGTAAGGATGAGATTGTGGTGTGAGGATCGCAACGCAGCAAGAGAGGGAAGGGGGGAGAGAGAGAGAGAGAGAGGGTAATGTTTCTGAGAGAGAAGACGAAATGGAAGCAAAAGTGGAGTTTGTTTCGAAGCAGACCCAATTCAGCTAACCTTCACGATGATCGACAGGTGGACAACGAGGGTAAACACGTAATTTCACTGTATTGAACACAAAAAACAACGGGCCATGGTGATCAAAAGAGGGGCATTTCGGTCAAATCAGTATTGCTGAACAGTGCTCATCAACTGGGTTTTAGTATATATAATTAATTATGGGCACAAATAATATATTAGAGTCCATTTTTTTCAATAAAGCTGTCAGAAAATGTATTTGTGCCTATTTTGTTTTACAATAGGCACAATCAATGGTGCCCTCTATGAAATGGGAACTGTTTCAGTCTTTTGATGGTCAAACAGGCACAAAATTCTCAATGGTGTCCTTTATTTTGTACCCATAGCTCATTTTTCTTGTAGTGGCGGCAAGCATAGCTGCATAAGGCGATGATTCATCCCTATCAGCTTTCACCTTCATACCACCTGAAATTGGGGGAAAAAATGGGTAATGATAGCAACAGCAATGAAATAATCAAAAGAAAATCATCTTCCAACAGAGTACGACAGCACAGTAATGCCAAGAGTCCACAAACAGAACCGAAGCATCAAGAAACGGTCACTTCTATTCATCACAATTATGGCAAAGGAACGGTTTAAGAAGAGCGCCAATGCGCCATCATACATAACATCACTACGCTTCCGTAACATAGCTTTACAATCAACTACAAATATCCGAATTTACTGTGGAGCGCATCCAACCATGCAGTTGCAAATCAAATAATACCGGAAAACTATTTCAAGTAACAACTGAGAGATGTCGAAAAACATACCGGTGATGCGCACAAGAGTCTCCCTACCGGACAAGTCAGTCACATGCTGCAATTAGAAAGCAACAATTTCGCATATAAATTCAACTACAAATGAAAATGGTAATTACATTCGAAATAAAAAATATGGGTATTACAATGAAGGTATCATTAAATGAGGCAAAAATATGAGCAACACCGAAAGCATGTTCTCCGTCACGGAGAACAGGTCCAAGAGTAACATTCTCCTCCTTGGGCTCCCTGGTCTTCTTCCTCGACTAAACCAATCGAAAAATACAAATAAAAAGATATAATCAACACCAAATCAAATTATAAAACAGTAGTTCAATATTTTCAATAAATCTACAAACAATCGATAATTCGTAATGTGTTTGGTTGGCGAGAAAATTTGGAGGGAAAAATGAATATTTTCTGGTCATATTTTACTGTCAATTTCTCGGCAACCACAGAATGTAAACCGCCTAAAAACACAGAGGAGAGAGAGAGAGAGAGAGAGAGAGAGAAAGAGAAGGAGGGTTACCGTGGCTGCGAGTAAATGATTTGGTTAGACGTCTCAGATTATTCAGAACGACGACGACGCTAAGGCGGGCTCTCAGAGCTTACCCCTCCGGCGTAATTCAGTCGCTAATTTTTATAGCCAACGTTTTGCTTTGGGGTACTAAAATGACCTTATTGCCCTTTTTTAAATACTCGCACCGGGCTATTCAAATTACTTCATTGCCCTTTGTGCAGAACTTGCATGCGAGTGTTGAATGACATGATTGCCCTTTTAAAAGTACGCTAGTTACCAATTTCGGCAATGTGAATGATGAGAAGCTATGAAAATTATCTATTTTCTGTTTAAGTAATGGTCGAGAACTAGGCGGGTTTAGCCGGGTGCCTAGATAGGTTCAGGTAGGCCTGGCAATTTCTGACACGACCCGATAACCCGACACGACACGACACGAAATTAACAGGTGTTTGGGTCGACACGATAACGAATCGGGTCTTATCGGGTAACCCGACAAGCACCTGTTAAAATAACGGGTTGGTTCGGGTATACACGTGGGTAACACGATACACAATAAGTAGAATATTATTTTTATAATTTTATAACCCTAAAAAAATACTGTAATAATTATATACATTAATTTTACAATTTTATACCCCTAAAAATTATAATATATATATATATATATATTAAATTAACTATAAAATTTATAATAATTATATATACTATAATAATTATACCCCCAAAATATTAAGTCTATCTATAATTATTATATATATATATATATTAAATTTTATAAAAACTATAATAATTATTAATTAATAATTTAATATGCATGATCATGCATTGCATATTTGCATGATCTTGCATCCATTCAAATTTGATGCGTCAGATGTGATTTGTTTCCATTCAAATTTCAATAATCAATTTTTTGCCATTGCCATTTGCCAACTTGCCGCCCTTTTTGAAAAAAAAAATGGAGGGAAAATGAAAATGTTAAGAAAAGTTGAAAATAAAACAAAAAAGTGAGGGAATTAGGGAAAGATGTTGGAGGGAAAAGTGAAAATGATAAGAAAAAGTTGAAAAGGTAACAAAAAAGAGAGGGAAAAATGAAAATTAATAGAAGCGGTGAGAAATTTTTTTTTTCTTTTTTAAGTTATTAACTTTTTATCACACACATGACTGTCATGACATATCTCATTATTTTTATAATGACACACGTGACACGTGATGTATGTACTATTCCGTGTACCAGTCAATTATAATTTATACGTACAAAATAAATAGATTTAAATCTACTTAATAAATATATATATATATATACACACACACACACACGGAACTTGATTGATGGCATACGAATTCTCCAAAACTAATTTCAACGATCCCAACCGTCAAACTTGTTTGTGTATGCTTTGAGATCACATCAACAAAAAATCATAAAAAATAAACATTCAAAGATCAAGTAACGGGACAAAGCTTTTCAACGGTTATAAACGAAAATTCACGATTTAACGGTTATTTTAACTCTGATTTTGATGATTTTTTATAACTACACTCCTTGACCCTATATGAATACAATGAATGAATTCGATCTTCAATTTAAAATATTTACACAAGTGGATACCACAAAATCTTATGTTATACTTAATGAAAGTATAAATAAACTTTAAGTGTTAGTCAATCTATCGTTTTACGAATTCTCCAAAACTAATTTCAACGATCCAAACCGTCAAAATTGTTTGTATATGCTTGGAGATCACATCAGAAAAAAAATCACAAAAAAAAAACATTCAGAGATCAAGTAACGGGACAAAGCTTTTCAACGGTTATAAACGAAAAATCACGATTTAACGGTTATTTTAACTCTGATTTTGATGATTTTTTATAACTACACTCATTGACCCTATATGAATACAATGAATGAATTCGATCTTCAATTTAAAATATTTACACAAGTGGATACTACAAAATCTTATGTTATACTTAATGAAAGTATAAATAAACTCTAAGTGTTAGTCAATCTATCGTTTTACGAATTCTCCAAAACTAATTTCAACGATCCAAACCGTCAAAATTGTTTGTATATGCTTGGAGATCACATCAGCAAAAAATCACAAAAAAAAAACATTCAGAGATCAAGTAACGGGACAAAGCTTTTCAACGGTTATAAACAAAAAATCACGATTTAACGGTTATTTTAACTCCGATTTTGATGATTTTTTATAACTACACTCCTTGACCCTATATGAATACAATGAATGAATTCGATCTTCAATTTAAAATATTTACACAAGTGGATACCACAAAATCTTATGTTATACTTAATGAAAGTATAAATAAACTCTAAGTGTTAGTCAATCTATCGTTTTATGAATTCTCCAAAACTAATTTCAAAGATCCAAACCGTCAAAATTGTTTGTATATGCTTGGAGATCACATCAGCAAAAAATCACAAAAAAAAAAACATTCAGAGATCAAGTAACGGGACAAAGCTTTTCAACGGTTATAAACGAAAAATCACGATTTAACGGTTATTTTAACTCCGATTTTGATGATTTTTTATAACTACACTCCTTGACCCTATATGAATACAATGAATGAATTCGATCTTCAATTTAAAATATTTACACAAGTGGATACCACAAAATCTTATGTTATACTTAATGAAATTATAAATAAACTCTTAGTGTTAGTCAATCTATCGTTTTACGAATTCTCCAAAACTAATTTCAACGATCCAAACCGTCAAAATTGTTTGTATATGCTTGGAGATCACATCAGCAAAAAATCACAAAAAAAAAACATTCAGAGATCAAGTAACGGGACAAAGCTTTTCAACGGTTATAAACGAAAAATCACGATTTAACGGTTATTTTAACTCCGATTTTGATGATTTTTTATAACTACACTCCTTGACCCTATATGAATACAATGAATGAATTCGATCTTCAATTTAAAATATTTACACAAGTGGATACCACAAAATCTTATGTTATACTTAATGAAAGTATAAATAAACTCTAAGTGTTAGTCAATTTATCGTTTTCAAGTACTTGAACGAGAAATGTTTTAATGTTTTCAAGTAATATTTATGTCGCAATGTGTGGTATGTGCAAATTTTAAAAAAATATATTTTTTTCTTAACGGGTCATAACGGGTCGGGTCACTTTACCCGTTGGGTAAAGTGACACGACCTGTTAAGATAACGGGTGTGACACGACACGACCCGTTAAGATAATAGGTGTTACACGAAAACGACACGAACACGACAGACACGACCCGTTTGCCAGGCCTAGGTTCAGGTCTTCATTTTTTCAAGGCTTAGAGATTAATTTGACGGTAGCCAGCCGATAATGACTTTTTGTTTCCTAACAGATGGAGGCAGGTCGATGATCATGGAACTAGTCATTTGTCTATCATAGATCCTTGGAATTGCCCATCTCCATAACAGAGTAAGATTCTCTCATCTCTTAATCTCTCTTTCCTTTTATCCCCTCTTATTTAAACAGTTATGATTACGCCATGTTTGCATCTTGTTTTGAATTTTTTATATAGACTAGTAGGGAGCACATACTTTGTATGTGTGTGAACAATTTCTCTTAATAAGTGCATGTTTTTTTAATATTACATAATTACTGTTTTGTTCTCCTTATGTAAATATTATGTATCAAAAATGAGGGTAAAATTGAAAAAAATATGATTGTCATTATCTTAAAAAAAGAGTGAAATAAAAAAAATAAGGATATGATTGTCATTTTGTCAAAAAGTACAAAATTATTATTTTGCCCTTCTTTTTGTCAATAGTGTATCAAAAATGAGGATAAAATAGGAAAAAAAGGGAAAAAAAAGTTGACAAGAGGGTTTTCTTAATAATACTATAGATAATAGGACCAAAAAAAAAATGTGAGAGGAGATGATGGAAGGAAATGGTAATAGTAGGAGAGAGAATCCTACTCCTTCGACAATCCTACTCCTTCCATGACAAGTAAGACAATCCCACTCCCTCCATGACGAGTAATGTGAATGGATTCTTTGGTGCATATGTACAGTCGTCGAGTACGTGAATAGTTTTAAACAATGAAACGGATGACATCTCTATACCCTGTATACTTCATGTTGTTTTTATTTGATACGATGATAATATCACAAAAGAAATTAACAAAAATAATACTGAAATGTTGGTTCTTCCTTTGCAATGGACATGCTAACAAAAAAGAAAAAAAAATTCCATCACCTTCGAATGAGCGTCGAAGGAAGTTCTGCATGATTGACTGGTAGTTTGTACGTTGCAGACTCCGCGGTGTCAAGAGAAGCCATAACCTATAACTTCATTCCTTTTCAAGCTCTTCCGGTTTTATGCGAGGAACAATGTTCATCGACTGGAGTTCTTGAATCAAGAGCTTGCAAGCATACGGCATCTTTGCAGTATACATTTTATCCCCAGTTTTGCACGAGGAACAAATTCCAGTTTTCAGCTTATGGCTGTAATATCCCAACAAACCACACTCTTTGCAAACATGAACTTCAAAAGGATCACTCGACAGCATCAGGCGCTCATAAAGCAACATACTAGCACCATAAGCAATCAAACAATCACGCTCCATTTCTCCGACTCGTAGTCCTCCATTACGGGCTTTTCCCTCAGTAGGTTGCCTAGTTAGACTAACTCGAGGACCACTACCCCGTGCATGCATTTTATCTAGAACCATATGCTTTAACTTCTGGTAGTAAATTGGTCCCATGAATATATATGCCTGTAAAGGGCAGCCTGTGATACCTGAGTAAATCAAGTCCTTGCCGTCGTAACTAAACCCCATCCTCACGAGCGTTTCACTTATATCTTCAACCTTGTCTGCATGACCACTTGGTTCACCAAAGGCACTGCCATAATGAAACCTGCCACATGACACTCCTGCTTTACTCCCAAGAAGTTCTATCATCTTGCCTACAGTCATTCGACTTGGAAACCCATGAGGGTTCATAATTAAATCAGGGCAAATGCCACGTTCAGAAAAAGGGAAATCTTCCTGCTGGACAATGGTACCACAAACACCTTTCTGCCCATGTCTGCTACTGAACTTGTCACCAACTTCCGGTCTACGAGTATGCCGAATTAAGAACTTGGAACATAAATTATTATGTTTATCAGAAGAGAGGGTCACTTTATCAACCACACAAGATTCTCCATGAGGTCCCTTGTAAGACACCGGAGCATTTCCATATGGAATATTTAGTTGGCTTGGGGAAATCTGCGGCCCTCTCGTGACTTGAGGAACCTGTTTATTCATTAGAATGTCATTATTTCTAATAATTTCTCCAGGTGCAGCAAGTCCATCGTTGTCCAGCGCCCGCATCCTTCCAGCATCAGGTCCATCCCTATAGGGCCTTGCTATCCTGTCACGTGCATCATTTTCATATTTTTGAAGCGTGCCAGAAAATTTTTTCATTAGAATACAACGACCAAAACCACGATCCAGAGATGCCTTGTTCATGACTATTGCATCCTCTATGTCATAGCCACTATAGCTCATCACAGCAACAGTTGCATTTTGCCCGGCTCCAAGTTTATCAAAGCCCACCAACTCAATTGTCTTCGTTGTCAACAATGGCCGTTGAGGATACACCAGAAGGTAAAGCATGTCCATTCTTTGTAGCTGATTATAAGCAATATTTCCCATTGCTTGCTTTCCCATAGCACACTGGTACGTATTTCTAGGCGACTGATTGTGATGAGGATATGGAATTAGCCCAGCAATAACACCTAAGATGGTGAAAGGCTCTATTTCAATATGGGTTGTTTCTGTTGTTGCCTCGTTTTCATATAGAGCAATCAGAGCATTGTTCTCCTCATTAACATCAAGATACTCAATCAGCCCATCAGTTAAAAAATCATTAAAAGTGCGTACTCCATCCTTCAACTCCTGCATATGATGTTCTTTGACCCTTGGTACGCCCCTGTCAGCAATAACTAGTGGACGACAAACTCGACCACCATCAGAGGCAATGTAAACACTACGCTGTTTCTCATTGACGAAGACACTTACAAACTCCCCAATCTTTCCAGCTCTACGCAACTTTCTCAATGCGTTGGCAAAGTGATGTGGCTTCTTATGCTTTCCAAGGATGTTTCCATTGAAGAAAACCAGAAAAGAATACGGTGAGTGAACCTCCTCGGCTGATAGTATTTCCAGGCCTTCAATACCCAAACACTTGCATAGAGACATTAATGGGCCCTCCTCTTCATCAGTTGTCACATGAGCCATCAAAGACAAGTTTTTAACCAGTCCACATTGCTCACCTTCTGGAGTGTCGCAAGGGCAAAGCATTCCCCACTGGCTAGGTTGCAAGGCTCTAGGTCCACTTACTTTTCGTGTCTTCTCAAATTGTGGCTTGACTCTGGTCATATGGCCCAGACACCCTATGTAGGATAACCTAAATAGGACCTGTGACATACCTTTACTGTCCATTTTGAACCGTTTTATGTTGAAGTTTCCAGTGGATAAGGTCCTTTCTAGCCCATTTGTAATTCTATCACTTGTAAGCTGCTGTGCAAAGTCAAAAGCGCTACTCCTGCTACGCTTTGATAATATATTGTCTCCTATCTTTTTAATGTCAGTAATCATCGTCTTGAACAGATCCTCAAACAGAAGAGAGATTAACTGACCAGACAACTCAATCCGCTTGTTACCAACATAATCCTTGTCATCCATTGCATCTTTATTTAAAACTGCATCCATTATGCGTCTCAACATTACAGCAACATATACGCATTTAGGACGAAAATCATTCTGACACATAACGTTCGCAAGAAACACATCTCGAAGAAGTTTCATTACTCTAGCACTATCCTTCTCGGATGAAGAACCGGAAAAATTAAACCGCTTCAGCTTTGACTCAAGGTAGTCCAAGGCTTGCTCTTGTGTGTATATACCTTCCTTTGCACAATCCTCCAAAGATGGCATTAGCAAGGAACCATACCGCGGATCTCTACCAACCATCTGCACAACTTCTTGATCACTCGTCATTCCCAAAGCCTTCATGACCACCATAATAGGAATCTTTTTGGCAAATTGGTTAAGTATCAAATAGATCCTCTGATTTTCCATCTGAATAACGGTTTTACTTTTGATTCTCTCTGAGCTGCTTGTAACAGATGCATTAAAGTTCCCTTTCTTGTCCATATCAATGATAATCCTGTTTTTCGAGAGTTGTTCCTGCATCAAAAGCACCTTCTCATTCCCTTTGATGATAAAATATCCTCCGGGATCCAGGGGGCACTCACCCAGTTTTGCAAGCTCGGCTTCATTTTTCCCCAATAGAGTACAGCAGCAACTCTGTAACATAATAGGCATTCTCCCAATAGTCACACCTTTCCTCTCGACTTTCTCCTTCCGATCATGACTTCCTCGAATGTACACTATATCAACCTTTATCGGTGCAGCATACGTCATATCAGATAAGCGGCATGTATTGGGAGAAATATCATCAGTTTTACCCATTGACATCACCGAGGCCTTATCGACATAGATATCTTTGAACTCGAGATAAATAGTTGGATCGATCTCCGACTCAATCCGATTATTGGCACGAACAATTTTCTTGATTCCCGTGTTCACAAAGTAATTAAACGAGTCTAAGTGCTGCTTTACCAACCCCCTCACCTACAGTACAATAAAAATTCCATCTTTCTTAAATTCCAACGAATCAAAAATACTAAAAACAACAACAGTAGCAATGATGACAAGAACAACAAGCAGGGTAGCAACTTTTTAATTAAAATTTAAATGAATAAGTGGATGGTAATAGTAGTTTAAAGTTGAAACCTTTAGAAATTCCGGGACGAGCGCGAATTTGTCCTTGGCGGATTTGATAGGAGCGGCGAGGAATTCCATATCAATGGCTGACTTAGGAGCTTGCCTTCCCTTTGTAAACCTAATTCGAAAAATGAAATGAAAAATCGAAAATTGGAATCGAACTAAAACCCCAAACCCTGAACTGAAACCAGTTACCAGTTTGAGAGAGAGAGAGAGAGAGAGAGAGAGAGGGAGAGTACCGTTGCTTGTCGTTGCCAGGAGGGTCGACGGAAGAGTCCAGGGCGACGCCCATGGCCAATGCCCAAACGCTACGGTTTCTTGGAGGGGTTTTGGATGGGTTGCAGCTGTTTTACAGAGAGAAGAAACAGGGGCAGGAAAGAAACGCTAGGGTTTATTTACATCTTTTACATCCCCCGCACCAACGAAAACGGAAAATGCAAATTGTAATTTCATACTGCCTACTGCAGTTTAATGGTATTCTATTTTAGTCATAAATGAGATGTTTTAGCTTTCATTCTCGTAAAGGTAAAGTTAAATCATATTATTATAATAATGTCATTGTAAGTTTAACACATTCTCTCATTTTTAATGTAGATATTATCGTTTTTTTTCAAAAAAACAAAAAAAAAATCATGTAGGTACTTGGCATACATTTTTTATTTCTCACACATTTTTATTTATTTTTATTTTATTCAATTAGGAGGCTAAAAATTAAGATGAACGTGTGAGAGCTAAAAATTGTGCGTGAATAACACCAAATTATCATTTTTACCCTTTTCTCTTTATTGGAAAGCTCTTAAATGGAGACAACGAAATATAAATTATTTATCTTCGTAGAAAAATGTAAATAAAAGAGTGTACTTACATGAAAAATATAGATTTAGCGTTTTGCATCTTCTATTCGAGATGCTCTTTAAAATGAATGTGGAACGACAAATTAATATATTAACCATATTTTACGGATAATTTTGTAATAAGGAATTTTAAACAACGTTATTATCGTGCAACACCTTTAATAATTGTATCCTGTTCCAGTTTTGAAAACATGACCTGACTACTATGTGCCAAGACTACCAGCTCGTGGCCACGAATTGCCACTCGTAATTGTAAGCATCTACAACCATACTATTACCCGTAAATTAGTAACACCACAAAACATGTCACACTAAAAAAAGAAAAATAGATCAATAGCATTGCCAATTTGCCATCTTCAACCAACAACTGATACAATTTTATAATGTAGCTCCAGATGAAATCCAAAAACGAGAACAGAGAACCCCAAATAAGACACAAATGATTTATTACAAGTGAACAATTGAAACACTAAGAATTACCAATGTTATCTGCACAACATATCTTCTGTGGCAGATAAATTAAACCCGATACGGTTTAAGGCCGAAGGGATGCAAGCTTAGGACCCACAATCTCAAGGAGACCTTTTGGATTGTCGACGTGAACCCAATGGCCGGACTTGGGAAGAACATGAGCTGAAACATTCCCCTCCGATCCATCTGCTCCGCGAGTGGCAAGGTTTTCGAGTTGTTGAATCGCATCTTGGTCCCAACGATTACTGTCCTCAGCGCGCACAATAGCTATCTCCATATCTTGCGGGGGGTGCTCCAACAGAGGCCAATAAGACTTTTCCCTGCAATGTTTTACATTCATAGAAGATCGAGAGGTAAGAGGGAAGGAAACAGATTTTCATAGTTTTCTACTTCAAATTGGTCTCGAAAGTAGTAAGATATATACTGGAAAGAATTGAACATCTGGATAGCAACGTCAAGATTGAACGCCCATGTCAAATGATCTCCATGTTTCTTGAGGTTGCTGCCGATCCAGTGTGACAATGATTTTGAGAACCCGAGCTCAAGCAAATGATTCATGAGCCACCTTAAATGAAGAACCAGATTTATTGCATCAAGAAATTTGAAATACGATGATCATACATAGGATACTTTTGTAACTCCATAATGCAACTAAATTCCGAGGCAAAAAACAATGGTTACTCCGATTCACATTTAACAATGTAAAGATTGACTGAATTCAAGGCTCTTGCTTGTGTGAAGCAATTTGAGGGTAGAGAAGGCGTTTGTATGAGAAATAAAGCATCTGAATAAATTTAGATCTAAACGGGATATAGCCATCTTTGAAGGAAATAGCATACGGAAAAAATATACTAGAACTCCACAAAACCAACTGTTGAACTGTTAACCCATAAATAGTACACGCAGTTACACACTACAGCACCAATGTAGATGCAAAAATCAAATAACTCATCGTAAGGAGAAAGAGGTTTTACTTTCGTGATGGAACTGGTGAAGGTAGACTCCGCAATGTGTGCAAAACCTTCTCAACTTCCCTATTTCTGTTTTCAGGGTTCACTTCTCCTGGAACGGAATCCAACACCCACAGCTGTTCTGGATCACAGAGAAAAAAAAAAAAACAGAAAGGATTCATGCTAGGATGTCAAACCAGTCTAATCATCCTTCCTATCGTTTCAACTGCATTCGGCAACACACAGCAGAAGCAGTACTTGCCTTTAAACCTAATCAGAGAAACTAAGCATGATTTATGCAACATATAAACCCCGAATACGAACAAACACATACAAGTGTTGGTAGACAGCTTTCAGCATTCATAAGTTGAAGAAGTAGAGTGCTCCACAGCCGCATACATGGTGTCGCACTTGCGGATCTCACAAATGCTACAGAGCTCTCAGAACCAAAAATGTAGTGCTCACTCCCAACCCAAGAAGAAAACAAGACATCATTTTGAGTCACTATACAATAACTTTTTAAGTACTCCCCAACATCAGTGTAAACTAAAAAGCTTCCACATTTTGATTCACTTTGCTAGAATAAGTACCTTAAGGCCAGTTTGGAAATGCTTGTCCAAAAAGAACTTCAGCTTGTAGGCACTTTTGTTGAAAGCGTTTTTATTAGAAGCAAATCTACATTTTACATAACAATTCAAGTGCTTCCTAGGAAGGGACTTGGACCTTACAAGTACTTAGAAGAAAGTTTGTGCTAGGTGCTTCTCTGGAAAAGTATTTACAAGTTGTATATTCCAGAAGCACTTTAACTTTCTCTGCCAAATGCTGCAAGAAGCGCTTTTGGTTGTCTTAAAGTGCTTAGTCATTACAAAAAGCACTTATGTTTGGGATTGCTTCTGAAATGGCTAAAAAGGTTAACCAAAAGCGTTTCTAACTGCGTTCAGCATGAAAGCTCAATAAACATTTCGACTTGTTCATGATAAAAGCTGCAGATGCAGACCCAAACGAGCCCTGAGATAATCATTCTAGTATTTTATTTAAGCTCTATGCAATTTTAGCACAAAGAGCAAGAGGGCAAAGTGTATAACCTGCTTGGGCAACTTGGCAGAATCACCATAGTCACCACGAGCACAGCTTTGTGCAAATTGCAGAGCAACCTTCCCGCCAAAGGAGTGGCCGAGAACAACATCCGGCCAGTCCCAACCTTGAGTCCGGATCAAATTAGCCAAATCTTGCGCCGAATTGACCAAATCGTGAGGCGGATTCAGACCGCCGAGCTCCGCCGACCTCCCATGGTTCCTCAAATCCACAAGCACCATTCTCCAACCTGCAATTCGAATTTTCTGTTTACGAAAATAGAGAAATGAATTGAGAGAGAGAGAGAGAGAGAGAGACCAGATGGGTCGGGGAGATTGGAGAGGAGGGTGCGGGAGAAAGATCGCCAGGTTCTGGCGGAGCCCAGAAGGCCGTGGAGGACGAAAGCGGTGGTGCGGTAGGGTTGTGGGTCGGCGAAGGGTCGGAGCTCTTCGTAAGCTAGCGTTTGCAATGGCCGTCGTGAGATAACGAATCGGGTCAGGAGGGCATGAAGACCCGGTTTGCTTCCGACGGTTCGCGCCATGGGGAATTTTGACACATTCGATTTTGCACTTTTCCGTTACTCCGTTTGGGGAGTGATGATTCCGATTTTCACTTTACATCCTGGTCCTTAAAATTTTGTTCAATTTTCATTTTAGTCCTTTCAGTTAACTAAAAGTTCATCTTTCTACGTCTTCCTCTCTTTGGGAAAACTCAAGTTGTAAGGAATTTTGCCTCATTTTACGAACTATAATAACGGCGCCAATACACAAAAAAAAAAAGTCATGCAAATGTTTGACAAGAATGTAAGAATGCTGACTTCTAAGAATGAGTCAGGTATTGTACTCTGCTGAGCAGTTTAAACAAGTCATTTTTCTTTATAAGAGTATCTTCGATAGAGACTGTATATGAACTCTTGTTGCCTAGGAAGCTCTTCTTTACTACCTCCAAGATTCACAATGCACGAGGGGCCATAATGCCACGTGGTTGTCATGTCACGGTTTAACAGAATTTCTAACATTCAATAAACGGGAAGTATGAATCCGAAAGAAAAACATAACTTTAGCTATGAAACTGGGATGAAGAAACCTTGACGTATGAAGGGATGAAATCCTGGTTGCCACAATCTCAAGAAGACATTTCGGATTGTCCATGTGAACCCATTGACCAGTGGGCGGACTCGGGAAGAACGTGAAGTGAGACATTTCCCCCCGATCCATCGGCTTCTCGATTGGCAAGGCTTACAAGCCGTTGAACCACCACATCCGGGTCCCAACGATCACTGTTCTCAGCACGCAAAACAGCTATGTCCATATCTTTTGTGGGGTGCTCCAACAGAGGCCCATGTCCCGTGATCTCCTTGTTTCGTAGAATCTGAGCTCTTAGTAGGCTAGGGTTTGCAGCGGCCGTTGTGAGATTGTGAAACGGGTAAGGAGGTGGTGAAGACCCTTCCGAGGATCCGAGCCATGGGGACGGCGAAAACTGTCAACTACTCCGCCTGTGTTGGAGGAAAGGGACTAAATTATGAGCTCTCCGACGTCGTTACTACTCTTCCGCGGGAATATCAACGGAAAGTGTTGAAAGAAAAAAATAAGATTAAAAAAAATTAAAGATAAATTTGACAGCTGTGGGATTTGAACCCACGCCCTTTCGGACCAGAGCCTAAATCTGGCGCCTTAGACCACTCGGCCAAACTGTCCTGTTGATGTTAATTGTACAGAGGTTCTTACATCATCTCTATAACTTCTCAGCTAATGTATAAAAATGGAGACACTATCAGCTTCGGCCGAAACGGCAGTCCTCCACATGAAGCGGGGAGTAGGCCCCAATTGCAGGACCTACATGCGTCCCCGACTCTTTGTGAGAGAGCTGTCGCACAGGGCATGCTTCTCGATGAGTTCCCAATCATAGCTCTTGGACGTGAATAGCGATTAACTGATATTAGAGGTGACAAATCAACACATTGGATTGTTAGCTAACCGTTAGGGACCGTTTAATTTGATATCACCATAATATAGATGTGAGACTGATAGTGGTGATAGTGTAATGTGAAATCAAACTAACTGAGTCTTAATGATTACCCAATAGGTTAATTTGCCTCCTTGACCTAATACTAATAGGTTTTGCATCTAAATTTCTCATAGAATATTTCTCTACTTTCACGTCAACAAAAAGCAACAAATTCAACTAAATTAGCATTTCTTCACAACCAAGTTCCCAATCCTCCAAGGTAAGTTGCAACACATTTCATCAAACAGAGAACTTAAATTTGTGATGATTCCTAGTTTAAGTGAAGTAATCTTGCAGTCAAGCCAACATTTTGGCACAAGTTACACACCGCTAAGTTATTACCAAGCTGCATCGACGAGGAGATAACACTGCTAAGTTTTTCATCTGGTTTGCTTTAGTCAAATGGATCAATCCGTGGGTCATGCTCGCTTGCCATCATCATCCCAGTGCACAGGCACGTCGGGCACATGACCTAAGTGAACATGGAAGGTGATGATTAGTCCTAGAGAGAGAGAGAGAGAGAGATTGGAATTACAGTGCATGAAGAACACAAACGGCAAATCTCTTATCAAGGATTCAAAAGAAACAAATGGAATTAAAGCCTTGCACTAAATTCCTTTCGGAAGTTTGAAAAATCATCGTAAATCTCATTATGGTTCTTTCTTCCTTTTAAGCCTAGCATGAGCAAACCATTGGCAAACATGATACGATGAATGTGTGGAAAGATTTGAAGCAAGTGTACCACGAGACAAATGATCAACAACATCAAGAGATAAGTGTGATAAATTGCAGTGCCAACAAACTTCGACATGCCAAATCATTTCTCATGAATAAACCGCTTAGCGACAAATTTGTACCTTTCCAGCACCAGAGCAATTTGGGCACCTCTCAGTTGTGGGCACTCGCAAAGGGCGGTCCGTTGCACTAGATGCTGATATAGGATTGATGTTCAAGCACACACCACTTGCAGAACATCTAGCACAGGCCAAGTACCCTGTCCATGTAATACCAGACAAAATTACCAGATGAAAACAAAAGTACGAGGACAATAAAACCTTAGAAATAACATTTATAAGGAGAAATTGATGAAAGGTTAAAAAAAAAAACATAAGAAAAGTAACAAAGTTGAAAAGAATTCTAGTGATGAGAAAGGCAAGGAAGAACTTCCATAAAATCGAAGAAACTAATGGCGCTGTAAGAGCCAGAACCTAAGCCATTTTTTACTTATTATTTTCATAAACTTACCAGCGTAAGCAAACTTCATAGAAAACTAAATGCAAGAAAATTTAAAGACAACCCCATCCAACAAATGATCCACGTTTCCCCAAAGAACCTTATCAGTTGGCACGCTTGCATTTGTGACAGTTTAAAACATACCAGCTCCACGGCAATATTTGCACCTTTTCTTCTCTTGTTGCTCAACATTGTTAGCTTCAATCAACATCAATGCTGAAATGACACCCACTGCCCCACCGGAGAAGGATGCCACAATAGGATCAACCTGACTGAATTCAGAAAACAAAAGGGATTTCAGAACAGTAAGTAAGAAAATCGGTACTGGTTGCTTGAATTTCTAATAGTAATCAAGAAAAAAAAAAAAAGTATGTCCAGTATATACCTTAATTGTAAAGGCAGATGCATGCTGCGAATGAAATCTTCATATGAGGTACCTCCTATACCTAATTTTAGTTCCAGCTGTCACAGAGAACAGGTTGAGACATTTAACAACAGTAAAGAATTTTTAAGTCTAACCAATAGGCACAAAACATGTACGTCAAAACTACGGTTCCTCCTATTCAATACAGAGGAATATGTACCATCTTGCTACAAGGGTCAGTAAACATATAAGCAGTAAAGGATAAAGAAATTGAGAATCCACCTTTACAAAATTATACATGTATGTAGACATCAGGAAATATTCACTATAAACAATCATCTATGCTTACAGACTTACCGATGGTGCAATGAGACCTCCAAATACAATGACAGTAGATATCATTGATAAACTTGTAAGGTAGAGCTGCTTCAACGTCTTTGGTGTCTACATCATAACACAAATCACACAATGTCAGCTGAAAATAAAAGGCAAAGCGCTTGCACAACCACAGAATTCACAAGAAAAATCACAATTCGTTGTCAATTATCGTTTTCAACCTGCATGCCCCCTCCTGAAATATAAGGTTAGATTTGTATATAAACCCATCCGTGCTTCTTACGTCTTAGCTAACTATCCAAACTTCTCGACTTGTTTGAGGATGTCGATAAGGGGCAAACTTAAGGCGGTTAACTACATTGTAGATTAAACTCACAATATGAGGGAGAAAAGGGATAGTGGATGGAATGTCAGGCATCTCATTTGACTCTTCCTCACAAGCCTCATCCATATCCTTCGCCATCCTTATCCGGTGCTGCACCCGCAATCTCCTTAGCTACACAAACCAAACATATATCAAACAAAGAAGTTCACAATCCCCTAGCTACTGAAACTTAAAAGAACAAACATATATCAAACCCTTTTGAGTTTTCTGTTTTCACCTCTTCCATGAGAAGAAAAATCTTGTTGCGCCTGCTTCTTATGTTGTCCTGAATTTCCTGCAGTTGCATCTGCACAAAGTCCTGCACCGTCTCCGGCCCTTCTATGATACAAAAAGTGCTGAGAAAACAAAACATAACACAGAAAATTTAGCATTTTTCTCGTCAACTAAACCCGAGGACCAACTTTCAGTCTGGGATTGCTAAAAGCGCTTTCTGACAGACAAAAGGGCTAAATGCTTTCGGCCAATAGAAGTGCTTTTCAGAGAAGAAATGCACCTGATGCTTCTTCATAAAGTACTTGAATTTTTAGTTAAAAAATTAAAGGCACTATGATTTTTGATAAAATTTTAAACGTGTCTATAGTAAAAGCGCTTATGAGTAAAAGTGCTTTTTAGATAAGCAATTTCCGATGGGCTCTTGATTACCTTGGCGTGTTATCGGCGGGGGAGGATTCCTTGGAAGCAGAACAGGAAATTTGGGGACGCGGGGAGGTGAATTTGGACAGAGAGAGACGTCTAGGGATTCCATGGGCGGAGGTGGAGGAGGGAATTAGGGTTTTGGAGGAAGGGGGAGGATGAGAGCTGAGAGAGAAGGAAGCCATTTTTGTAAAGCTTCTATGCTCTGCTCATTTCATCAGCCAAATAGCAGAGAGAGAGAGAGAGAGAGAGAGAGAGAGAGAGAGAGAGAGAGAGAGAGAGGAAGGAGGGTTTTGGTGAGTGAGAGCAGAGCAGAGGAGAGGAAAGGAGGGGAGAGAGGAATCTTTGGGAGGGTTTGAGTGAGCATCTTGGTGGAAGACGGAGACAGAAGAAGGGATGAGGCCGATGGGTTATTGCCACGTGCTTCTCTTTCTCTCTCTTGACCGTTAACTGTTATTTGCGTCCGTGGCAGTTACCGCTTATAAGGTTAACGGATGTGCTATCACATTTATTTTACTTTTCATATATTTTTTGATAATTTTTATCTATTGATATTCTTCAATTCATTTGAACCAACGGCTGAAAATTCAAGTTCTGGATATCACACCCTAAAGTCAACGAAAGAAAGAACAACAGAAAAATCCAAGTTAGCAAACTTTCGTAGAAATATACAAAATGTAACAAAACAATTAATTGAATTTTTTTTAAATAAAAACAAAAGGAAAAATTAATATTCGGTCTCTAATTATAATGTTCATTAACTCAAACTTTATTAATTTTCAGATTTTGATCTAAGTTCCTAGCATTAATAAAATAATAAATTTTTATGTCAGTTACATAATTTTTTAAAATAAAAATTAATAATTGATTTAGAATTTTAATACTCACACCTTTATTAAACTCCTAACTAATTTTCAATTCAAAACATTTTCAAAATAAATAAATAAATTAGAATAAGTTTGTACCCATTAGCTTTTTAAAAAAATGTTTTCAATTTTTCAATCTTATATGTACCAATTTGTTATATGTAAAATGTACCATTTTTTTTTAATACAAAATCTATTCAATTTTTTTCTTATCCATTTTTAAACTTATATGGGTATATTCTTTTTTCTTTGATTTGATAATGTATTCATGTCAAGTTTAATCGAAGAAATTTACTAATGTTATTAAGCCTAATATCTTTTTTTTTGGTGATTTTGAAGAATGTACCCATATTTTGGTACAATAATTTTTTGGTTAATTTTGATGAATGTACCCATGTTTACACACACACAATAGTATATTTATATTTTAATATTTTTAATCCCACTAATTATGGTTTTTTATTTATTTAAAATCTCATTAATATAAACAACTATAAATTTCAATTTTTAATTTTAAAAAATATAGTAACATACACATAAATAAATTATCACTTTAATTTCAAGGACTTTGATCAAAAATTAAAAATCAACAAGGTTTCAGTAAAAGGGTCAAAACATTTTGCTACGAGTAGGACCGATTGAATAGGAAAATGGGTTTTTAATTTTATTTTTACTAGTTTTTTTATTTGAATTGAAAATTTTAAAATCAAAATCGGTTTGGAGCATTTCATATAAACTCATCACGTATCTTGGCCCGTAAGAGAGAGGATCTAGTGTCCATATTCAGACCTTAAGAAACTTCATATTTAACTCCCATATTTGAGTTAATGGCATGACTTCGATGTTATATGTGTTTTAGTCGTTAGGTATTATATTTTCAATCTCATTCTCTCTTGTATCATTCAATAATACGTAGCACTTGAAGAAATTTCTCTATGTTACACATTGATTAGATTTACAACTCCTAAAAGAACCCTAGTTGCAGAGGAAACAACATAAACATCACCACAACAACCACAGAAGGGGAAACCATGTTCCAAACTCCCCAAATCCTTCATACAGACCATCAGCTTCCCAATCCATTGCCTCTTTTCTGAACCTCTTTCCCTTCCCACTCCTTACGTTTTCAGCTAATCGTATGGGAGATAAAATGTGAGGAAAAACTGTCTTGTAAGAATCTCTCCAATCAACAAATCCGAATGCCCGAAACCCTCCACAACTACCCTTTCGCGCTGGAATCCTGGTTGGTGCAACTTCATGTGCTTATGAGCAAGGAAAGATGTTTGAGGAGCCACGAGGAGAGACCGCCCTCCGGATATATAAAGCGTTGGTAGTGCCATTTTTTTCTTGTTGGATCAAATATGACTTAAGTCATTTCCCTCCATTGGCTGCCAGAGCCAGTAACTCTCGGTGGAGTATCCATTAGAAGAACTGGATTTGCCCGTTTCCTTTAGATGTGGCAAAATATGGTGGCACTTCCATTGTCTACAACCAATAACGAATCCATCTTCTGCACGTTGTATGGGGAGGACAAGAAATTAGGAACTCTATAGCAGCAAGAAATGGACCAGATCACCATAATCTGCATTGGACTTTGTAAAAGCAAAACAAATGCTTGCATTTGATCACTAAGCATAAAATTGAACAAGAAACAAGGACTTTCTTTTCTTGGACTTAAAAAAAGTAAGAACATTTGCATTACATAAGAAGTGCACATAATCTCAACTCAAATATATGCATAGAAAACTAGTTTACAGTCTAGCGATCTGGACCGACTTCTGAAGGGCCTGCATAAGATTTCTCATGATCCTTGGCTCACCGGGAGGTGTCTTGTCCTTCAAGCGTCCGTTTCTGACAGCTCGGAAAATTGGGCCGGAGCCGTCACTTGGTGGAAAAACCAAGCAGTCTATGTACACAGGGACCTCAACCTCCGCATTCCCAATTGTAACAAAACCCAATCTAGTCCCACCTGCAATTTTGTCCACCTGTTCCATCGCAATGTACAAGAAAATATTCAGTCCATTGCTAGGTCTCAAAGCCATTGTCATAATATATTCCAATGTGTCCATGCAACTGGGCAATATAAACTAACGTGTCACAGCTATGCAGCACGAGATTGCGTATAAAAGTACTTCCAACAGAACGTTTGTTTGCGATTTCAAACCTTGAGTAAAATAAAAGAAAATAAAAGAACATAAATAAACAGAAATGTGCAGAAGCAGAAAATGGGCCTTCGGAAAATCAATTCCTAAAATAAAAGGAAAAAAATAATTGAAATATATTATGTACCTTGAAAGGCATATCAAGAGGCAGGTTAGCTCCTTGGCAGAGACCATTAGCCCACTGTTGAACAAAACGCAGAGTTTAATACATTGGACCAGAAAAATAATTATTAGGTAGGGACTATTAGCCCGCTGTTGAACAAAAAGAAACGTTTATTATATTGGACCCAAAAAATGGGAAATTAGCCCACCGTTGAACAAACGCAGCGTTTAAGGCAAGAAAAAAAATCGCTAGAAGGAGGGTTCGAACCTCCGACCTTGTGGTTAACAGCCACACGCTCTAACCAACTGAGCTATTCCAGCCACGTTGTAGGAGTATGCACTTTAATAATTAAATAGAGTTACCTGGATAGTAAGATTTGGAATCTGGGAAGATCGGTATCCGAGGGCAATTTCATGGTCCCGAGCAAGACGCCATCTTCGGCGTCGTCGGAAGGAATAAGGCTGTCCTTTTCCTGAGAAGAAGAATTGGCCACCGGCGTTTGATTTTGGTGGCGGTAGTGACGGCCGGAGTGCAAATTAAGCTTAGCAAAGAAGCCGTAGCTGGTGGCGGTGGTGAATACTAGCGGACAGGAAGCAGCCACCGACGGAGGAGGGGAGAGTGGGACGTGGAAATTGACACGTGGGAAGTGGAGGCGGCAGAGTGAGCTCATAACTCCTCCCGCCACAGCGACAGAAATGGCCATGGCTGAGTTTTAGAATTGATGGGAAAGATGGAAGGGGATTCGTTGGAGGATGGAATCGGAATTTAGTGGACGTGCTTCTTTCTTTGTTCACCTTTTCCGAGGCGGGAATGGTTGGCGACCAAGCTTCCAATCCTTTCATGCCACATCAGCAAATGTAGGTCACCGTCGCCACAAATTTTGCCATTTTTTAATGTAGAATTAAAAATCGTTTCAATACTACAGTCTGGTGGTATTCCTTTTGAGTTGAAAGTGAGAGATTTTAGGTTCGAATCTCGTGAATGGTGAATTCGATACCAAATTAGGTTCATTATGTGGGTTAGCCGAATTCTTCCTCTCCCTAGAGTAAAAATATCAATATACAATTTTTTTTTTAAAATTGAAAATGAAAAACTCTTTTGATAACTACTCCGTGTTTCAAAACTAAAAACCAAATTACAAAAACTCAAGAGAATAGTTTTCATTTCTCGATTTTCAGTTTTTAAAAAGAAAAAATAGTTATCAAACAATTCTTAACTAATTATTTTCGAGTTTTAATAATAATTCTTTATTTTCATTTCTCAACGAAGAAGTGTACGGATAACCCAAAAAAAATTCAAAACACTAAGAGACAAATCGATGCGATTTCAAAATATTAGGTTGCAATGCGAGAAAATTAAAATTCGTTAACCATTTTAAAACCACCATGTTGAGGTTAGGCCAAAAGAAATAAATAAAAACAAAACCTTCATGGAAAAGCAACCCCCATGTCAGTTGTTTTTTTGTTCCTGGAAGCGGACTATCTCTTCATTCATCAGTCGCACTGTCGCTTCAATCTTCAGAATTGGTTTAAAAAATGTTTTCTCTATTCAAAATCACTTTAACAAACAAGTCTAACCAAATTGGAGACGTTTGGGCCAAACAAGTTTAACATTTCATTTGAAGTCGGTGCCAGCGAAATTATGATGCATGGCCCAAAGAACAATTTGAATATTAGCACTTCATAATACTCGTCATGCACTTTTGATTTGAAAAAGAGTAAATGACTAAGAAGATTGTGAATAACGCTTTTCTAATTTTATTTCTTACAAGCAAAAATCTTGGCAAAGTAATTCTCCGATCACATGCTGCATGAATAATTATGCTTCACTGTTCAAAGAAGAGCATCAAGTGTTACTGAAAAGTCAATCACAAATGCATACGTGTCTGAATATTAAAATTAAAAACTATGATTGGACACTTATCCATATGTGATTGGATTTCAACAGCGAAGCATGGTTCCTGTAGAAATAGTCTCCTGGGATAATATGAATCTCAACATAAATATATATTTTGTGGTCATCCTAAGTGGAAATATTATTATTTTTGGTTGATTAAGAATAAGGGTAAATGTCCTCGAGATTTCACAATTAGTTTAAAAAAAAAAAAAAAAAAAAATACCCTAAAAGGTCAAGATTATTTTATTTACAGGTCAATCATACATTCAAGGGCGAATCTATTTATTGGCTGAAATGGTCTTGGTACCACCTGAAAGTTTGAAAAAGTGT